TCAAATATGATAAAGATTGAAGGGACTAATAATGAAAACACCCTTAATAACCTTAGGTTAAAGGGGAAAATAAAAACTGAAAACTAGCAAGACACATTTTTTTATATGGAGATGAACCTGGACATAATCATGTTTCGTTATTGAGTTGTAGGAAATTTGTCACCCCCAATTGTCTGTGGGAATCCGTCTTAAGCCCGTGCCATATCTGTTTAATATTTCTTTAAATTTTGCTGTGTCTCTTTTTTTTTATCCATTCCAGGTTACCCAATTTTCACCTGCTTTGCTTAAAAGAGAGGGTGTGCCTATTTATTGCTCCGTGCAGAATGAAGGGGAGCTTGTTTTGACATTCCCTAGAGCTTATCATTCAGGACTCAGTTGTGGATTCTCTTGTACTGTGGCTGTAAATGTAGCCACTTCAGACTGGTTGCCTCACGGGCAGAATGCTGCAGAGCTTAACCGCAAACAGGCTCACAAGATATCGTTATCCCACGACGAACTATTGACGGGAGCGGCAAGAGAAGCAGTTAAGAGCACAGTGGAATATTCCACTTCTTTGAAAGAACACTATAGAGAGTTTAAGATGGAAAGAGGCATGTGGAGATCGAAGATAGAATCCTGCAGCCAAGTCACTTAAGGTAAACTATGTATGCCTCATTCTCTGCCTTCGTTGCCAAAGGATTCACTTGGATGTTTATGTGTTAGAAAGTATTCCTATTTATAGCATTTTAAGTAGCTTTAATAGTTCCAATAAGTATCATGATAGGAAACGAGACTGTCCGGAGATGTGCATGAAAAATGGAGCGTTCTACTTATTATAGAAACAAGGACCCCATGACTTTAAGGGTGTTGGCTACACGCACTTTAATAACAACCCAAATAAACAGCCAAAAAAGTTTTAAGAAGTTTTACCTGCACAAAGATTCTGGATATAAGATTTATCTCTCTTATATTTCTTCTTGATAATCAAGACCGTGTTGACATGGAACGGCTAAGAAGGGAAATTCTTGGTTCTTCGCAGTTTTCGCAGTTGGTTGCATATGTTCTTCGGATAGGTCTGCATGCTTGGCTTATGCGAAAAAACTGTGTTCTTGTGATTGGAGCACAAGGATTTTCCTATTTCATTATGAGGTTAATGAATTAAACATCCTAGTCCGAGGCTCTAGGAGGAAAATTGAGTGCAGTTCACAAATGGGGGATTTCAGACCTTGGACTTAATTTGAACTCTGTCGTAACTAAAGAGAGAACGCCAGAATCCAAGAAGTTTCCGAATAAGTTAACTCTCTTGGAAACTAGAGTTCAGAAGAATAAGGGATCACCATCTCACAGTAATTTCGGCATTGGTTCTAAAAATAATAATAGTTCTATACGAGAAATTAAGGCCTCAATCTTGCAGAAATCGTCCTACGTACGAGGAAAATATATTGAATCATGAGGGTTCACAACCATTTCCTTCACAAAAGGTAAAAGGAAGAGCCTGTGGAGAATAGAGAAACTTCAGCTAGGCTCAATTCCACTAATGAAGTAACAACTTTCAATTCACCCCATGAGATTAAGGCATCTTTCAGTGGTGAAGGTGGCAACACTTTGTAACATGCAGTAGAGAAAATTAGCAGTACCGATAAACCGGCATATCTTTGGTTAAGCTACGACCAGAGAAAGGAAGGCCCTGATTTAGCAAATCAGTGTCCGAATAGGTCCTTTCCAAAGAATCCACCTTATTGTGAGAATTCTACTAGTGAGCCCGTCGCAAAGCCAAGTCCAAAGTTTTCGGATATCAAACAAGAAGTTGGATGTAGTGTCACAAGCGATCAGAGGCAACTGAAGCATGTGGAAATACTGAGAAGTGCAAGCACAAATAAATTGGGCCGACTTCTATCGATGAACTGATAGATGCTCTAATCACAGTAAGCTCGTTTTGTCCACTAAAGGGCCCTCGATCGGCCAAAGTGGTGTGGAGATTTAACTACAACGTTGAGCTTTTGGAATCTCATCGTCTTACTGGGAAAGTTATGGTCGACTAGTCATGAGGCTATTTTCCTGAAAGAGTGAAAGGTACAGTCTAGGTTGAATTTGATCTTTTGACTAGTACCTCAAAGCTGATGTTCATAACTTTTTAACCAATCTATATTTATGACTATATTCCAGTGTACTTTAATTTCCTTGCAGGACACAGAAAGTCGAGTTAGCATACTATATCCAACACAAATGTGTTGTTATGTGTCTGAAATTTTGGATGTTGGACTGCTTGGACCTCTATTGATGGCACTCAATGGCTCTGCTTCTGGTATTTCTTTATTTCTTAAAGATTTTCTCATTTAAGTTTAAAGATTAAAGCTTTTGCTACTTTATTCACATAAAGGTGTGTTTACTATTGCAATTTAACAATGGGGGAATGGGGAATACACTTAAAAAATTCATTGTCTTAAAGTTTATCTACATTTTTAAATAGACTAAAATCTAACTTTTAGAAGCTCACAATTTTTTTTCAAAACAACCTTGTAGGTTTCACTATGACCGACACGTATACACATAAAAATGAAAGTGAAGATGCAGAATAACTACAAGGATGTAGCTTTGTTGGTGGCAACAATTGGCTCGGATCTTTCTAAATTTCTAGAAAATGAGCAAAACAAAAGAGAGAATGGACTAGGAAAACTTTATGCTAAAGTGCGCATGAAGTACAAAATTTAACACTTCTTGCCAAATAACATTTTGCCGTAGAACTTAGTGTGACATTCATAATTTGGAGAGAATGGAGTAGGGGAATCTTTAAGCTAAAGTGCACATGAAGCACAAAATTTAGCAGTTCTCGCCAAATAGCATAAGCTTGCTGAATAGAAAAAGAAAATTATAACTTCTCGCCAAATAGCATAAGCTTTCCATAGAACTTAGTGTAACGTTCATAATTTGGAGTCATATGGGCTATGTAGCAGGTAGCCGACTCTGCTGTTCAAAATTAACACATCAAAGCAAGCATTGTAGGCAGATTTGAAGGAAAAAAAGGGTAGGGGCCTAAAGTCATCTAGTAGAGTGCTGCTACGGGGACCCAAAATATGGGACCAATAGAGGGGACACCTCATCTGTCCCCTCACTTGGTCCCATATTTTGGGTCCTTAAATCATTTTCCCATCTAGTTGTGAACCGGACCTGATAAGGCCCAGGCCCACGAATAACATGCAGGGGAATTGTTTGTTCGGTTTTTGAGTCGGTTTCAAACTCTCACGCGTTTTCTCTCTGTTACCTATATAAACAATTGTTTATTAGGTTTTCTTTTGTGCAAAAGGAGGTGCGAAGGAGTTTGATGCAAAGTTTTGCGGCTGCAGACAAAATCAATTGCGTCTGCGGAGGAAAAGAAAAAGCAGAAGCTTGAGGAGTTTTCAGCAGCCGTCAAGAGGGTTCTGAGCATCTTTTGTAGAGAGAGTTTGTGTGAGAGATTTGAGAGTTTTGTGTGAGGGTTTTATTTGTGAGATTCTTGTGTAAACCCTAGTTGTATTCTCTCCCTCTATTAGTAGATCTCCCCCTCCTTGCCCCGTGGACGTAGGCAATTTGCCGAACCACGTTAAAATTGGTTGTACTGCTTTTGTGTGATTTGTAATAGCTTTTAGGGTCCCTCGATGCGCAGTGCTAGAGCTAATGAGAGGAAGAGCTAATATCCTATTTTGATAGGATATAGGCTTCAGATTCTTATTCCCTTTGAGAAACAAGAATTCTTATTGCGACCTGACTCTCTTGTTGTGCTGTCGAAGTGCTGTCGAAATTTCCGCTGCGCGCAACAAGTGGTATCAGAGCCCAGATTTCAGATCTAGGGGTTTTTTTGGTGGAGGAAGATTTTTTGTGTGAAGCTTGGTTCTTGGAGTTCTCGGCTTCGGTGGAGATAGCATTAGGAGTTGCCGTTGGAGATTTCGCTTTCCTCGTGTGGATAGGAGATCTATTTGGAATCCGATCTAGGGTTCAGTTGGGTGGTTCCTAATTCTATCAAATTTGTTCTTTCTCTACAATTTGGAGTTAGTTCGCAATGGGAGAAGAAGGTGAAAGCAGCAAATCGATGGCGGGTACAATACAAGTTGGTTTTCAAAACACCAAAATTAGTGTGGTGAAATATGACGGAAAAATCAACTTTGGTTTGTGGATGAGCGACGTACAGGATGCGTTAAATGCTCAGAATTTGGAAGAGACCATCATGGTCCACGAGAGGCCACCTAAATATGAAGAGGCGGTATGGGAGAAAATGAATAGGAACGCTTGTGGGGTGATCAGGTCCTGTTTGGAACAGGAGCTGAAGTATGATGTGATTGGGGTGACGTCTGCGATGAAGATGTGGGAAATTCTCAACAATAAGTACCTTACGAAGAGTGTTGAGAACCGATTGCACTTGCTGCGTAGGTTATTCAGATTCCAGATGTCCAGAGGCACCTCGCTTGCGGCTCATGTGAACAACTACACTAAGTTGTTGTCAGACTTGGCGAATGTTGATGAGAAGATATCGGATGAGTACAAGGCGATTATTTTGTTGGGCTCCTTACCGGATGAGGAGTATGATACCTTCGTGCTCACTTTGTTGAACGGGAGATCTTCTATCAGTTATAGTGAAGTGACTAACGCATTGACCAACTATGATTTGAGGAGGAAGGACAAGGAGACTTCCCGCGCTAGTACTTCAGGAGAGGCCTTGTCGACAAGAGGTAGAAGCCCATATCCGAAAGGTGGTAACAGAGGGAGGTCAAAGTCTAGAGGCCGCCACCAATTAACAAAGAACCAATGTGCATTCTGCAAGGAGCAGGGACATTGGAAGAGAGACTGCCCGAAGCTCAAAGAGAAGGAGAATAGCAAGAAAAAGGGCCCGAAGGCCAATGAGGTGAACATTGCGAAAGGCGATGATTCCGATGATTCGTGCTTTTCTCTACTGATTACTCCGGAGGTGAACCATGTGGATGCATCAGATTGGATGCTTGATTCCGGCGCTACCTTTCATGTGACCCCTAGGCGAGACTGGTTTGCATCTTTTGAGAAAGTCGACGGGGGCGTTGTTGTCATGGGAAATGATCAATCCTGTGGCGTTTGTGGGATAGGTACCGTACGGATTAGGATGCACGATGGAGTAGTCCGTGAGTTGAAGGAGGTGAGATTTGTTCCTCAACTGAAGAAAAATCTTATCTCAGTTGGAGCTTTGGAGGCGAAGGGATTCAAGGTGACTTTCGAAAACGCTGTAGCGAAGGTTACTAAGGGATCATTGGTGGTGATGAGGGGAGTCCGCAATCGGAATTTGTATTATCTGAAGGGAAGCACCGAGATTGGCCAGGTTGCTTCGGCTATTTCAGAAGCGGACATGAGCAGACTTTGGCACTATAGATTGGGGCACACAGGTGAAAAGTCACTGCAGGCATTGTGCAAGCAGGGGCTATTGAAGGGAGCCAAGAGTGGGAAGATTGAGTTCTGTGAGCACTGTGTTCTTGGCAAGAAGACGAAGGTGAAGTTCGGGACTGCCATTCATCAGACGAGGGGCATCCTGGACTACGTGCACACAGACGTTTGGGGTCCCACCAAGACTGCATCACTTGGTGGTAGACATTGGTTCGTCACTTTTGTAGATGACTATTCTAGGCGTTGTTGGGTGTACACCATGACGAAGAAGAGTGAAGTCCTAGATTTGTTTGTGGAGTGGAAGAAGAGATTGGAACTGCAGACTGGGAGAAAGATCAAGACGTTGCGATCCGACAACGGTGGTGAGTATACTTCTGACCCCTTTCAGCAGCTATGTCGAGACGAGGGCATAGAGAGACACTTCACAGTTAGTCATACACCGCAGCAAAATGGGGTGGCAGAGAGGTTGAATCGGTCTTTACTGGAGAAGATTCGATGCTTATTGTCGCAGAGTGGTTTGGAGAAGATCTTTTGGGCTGAGGCACTTACATATGCGAGCCACCTCATTAATAGGCTGCCTTCATCTGCGATTGAGGGGAAAACCCCTATGGAGATGTGGTCGGGAAAGCCAGCACATGACTATGACCAGCTCAAGGTATTCGGGTGCCCTGCATATTATCATGTTAGAACTGATAAATTGGAACCTCGAGCTAGGAAGGCCATATTTGTAGGATTCAAGCGTGGTGTCAAGGGATACAAGCTTTGGGATCCAGTGGATAAGAAGATTGTGCTGAGTAGGGACGTCACATTTGATGAGGCTTCTATCTTGAAGCTTCCTAGCTCTCATCAGGTGGAGAGGGATCCGACGGAGGAGATATCGCAGGTGGTGGAGATCGATGCAGCTCCACATTGTCCAGATGGTACAGTATCCATGCAGGTGCCGACTGAGGTGACGCCAGGCGAGCATGACGGTGACACGGAGGATACGAGTACAAATGTGCAGGATCAGGAACCGACGGCTCAGGTTCAGGATTCTATTGCGGCTAGGAGACAGAGGAGAAACATACAGATGCCAGCACGGTATGCCGACACAGTTGCGTATGCACTTCCGGTGGAGAGTATCGATGAGTTGGTACCTACTACTTTCAGAGAGGCCGAGCAGAGTTCGGAGGCTGATTCGTGGCAGGTGGCTATGCAGAAGGAGATGGAATCTCTTCATAAGAACGATACATGGAAGCTGGTTAAGCTTCCAAAGGGGCGGAAGGCAATTGGTTGCAAGTGGGTATACACGAAGAAGGAGGGCATTGAAGGCACTCCATTGAGGTTCAAAGCTAGGTTGGTTGCGAAGGGCTATGCACAGGAGGAAGGTATTGACTATAATGAGGTTTTCTCTCCGGTGGTGAAGCATTCTTCGATTCGGATTTTGCTAGCTTTGGTGGCACAGTATGGTTTAGAGTTAGATCAGTTGGATGTGAAGACGGCATTTCTTCATGGTGATCTTGATGAAGAAATATATATGACTCAGCCATTGGGATTCCGAGCTGCAGGGAAAGATAAGTTGGTTTGCAAACTGAAGAAATCGCTATACGGTTTGAAGCAGTCTCCTCGACAGTGGTATAGGCGATTTGATGGTTTTATGATTGGTCATTCGTACACTCGGAGCCAGTTTGATCCTTGCGTATATTTTCGCAAGTTAAAAGGAGGTGCGTACATTTATTTGTTGCTCTATGTCGATGACATGTTGGTTGCCTCTATTTCCAGGTCGGCTATAGATGAGTTGAAAGTTCAACTATCAAATGAGTTTGAGATGAAAGACTTGGGTGAGGCGAAGCGCATTCTAGGGATGGAGATCGGCAGAGACAAGAAGAAGGGCAGAATTTGTTTGACACAGGTGGCTTATTTGAAGAAAGTTCTACAGCGATTCCATGTTAGCATGGATACGAAGCTAGTTGGTGTACCTTTGGGAGCCCATTTGAAGCTTTCAGTTGGTCTTTCACCGAAGTCAGTTGAAGATCGTGAGTTGATGTCGAAGACTCCATATGCGAGCGTGGTTGGGAGCTTGATGTACGCAATGGTATGTACGAGACCAGATTTGTCACAGGCGGTGAGCATGGTATCGAGATACATGCACAATCCAGGAGTGGGTCATTGGGACACCGTGAAATGGATTTTGAGGTACATTCGAGGTACGCTCAATGTTGGTTTGGTTTATGAGCGGGACACTACAGGTGGGCAGCTATGCATTGGCTATGTTGATTCGGATTATGCCGGGGATTTGGATAAGCGCCGGTCTACTACGGGGTATGTGTTTACTTTGACCCGTGCGCCGGTGTGTTGGAGAAGCACCTTACAGTCGACAGTGGCTTTGTCTATGACGGAGGCAGAGTATATAGCAGTTACGGAGGCTGTGAAGGAGGCTATTTGGCTTCGAGGGCTTTTGGAGGAACTTGGTATATCGCAGAGGTCCGTCACTATTTATTGTGATAGCATGAGTGCTATCTATTTGGCGAAGAATCAGGTTTTTCATGCGCGGACGAAGCACATTGACGTTCGTTATCACTTCGTTCGGGATGTTCTTGAAGATGGCGATGTGGAGATTGTTAAAGTCCACACGAAGGATAATCCGGCAGATATGCTCACTAAGGTGGTTCCGAGCAACAAGTTTGATCATTGTCGAAACTTGTTGCATATTCGTGATTGTTGAGGCCGTTGACGGCCATTTTGGTGAACTACGTTCGGCTTGATTCCTTGGGCAAGAGGATACGTAGGCAGTCTTTCAGATGCAGCCGGTTTGGATTTTGATGGGGGTGAGATTGTTTGGACTCTCGTTCGGGTTCTCGACTTGTTGTGGATTGAGTTTGTACTGGACACAACAAGTGGGACTTTTGGATGCATTTGGTGTCGGTTCAGATTTGGAAAAACTTCACCGAGGTGGAGAATTGTGAACCGGACCTGATAAGGCCCAGGCCCACGAATAACATGCAGGGGAATTGTTTGTTCGGATTTTGAGTCGGTTTCAAACTCTCACGCGTTTTCTCTCTGTTACCTATATAAACAATTGTTTATTAGGTTTTCTTTTGTGCAAAAGGAGGTGCGAAGGAGTTTGATGCAAAGTTTTGCGGCTGCAGACAAAATCAATTGCGTCTGCGGAGGAAAAGAAAAAGCAGAAGCTTGAGGAGTTTTCAGCAGCCGTCAAGAGGGTTCTGAGCATCTTTTGTAGAGAGAGTTTGTGTGAGAGGTTTGAGAGTTTTGTGTGAGGGTTTTATTTGTGAGATTCTTGTGTAAACCCTAGTTGTATTCTCTTCCTCTATTAGTAGATCTCCCCCCTCCTTGCCCCGTGGACGTAGGCAATTTGCCGAACCACGTTAAAATTGGTTGTACTGCTTTTGTGTGATTTGTAATAGCTTTTAGGGTCCCTCGACGCGCAGTCCTAGAGCTGACGAGAGGAAGAGCTAATATCCTATTTTGATAGGATATAGGCTTCAGATTCTTGTTCCCTTTGAGAAACAAGAATTCTTATTGCGACCTGACTCTCTTGTTGTGCTGCCGAAGTGCTGCCGAAATTTCCGCTGCGCGCAACACTAGTAATGCTCAATTAAGTACTTGGTCGGATGCGAGACAGCTGACTTGAACAAATCTGCACCACAGTTACTACCAATTAGGCTCAAGTCGAATGGGTATACTTGGAGCTCTACATGGCCTTGGCTCCAGCATCCTGGCTCCACCATCATCAACACTCCATAACTCCAGTACCTCCTCTTTATCGCAAGCTTGCCTCATGTTCACAGATTGACTCCAAAAATCATCTATTTGGATTTTGGACTTTCCAGACATCAAAATGTTCAACCTGAACTTACTTATGCCTATAAACTTGTAGAATTCTATTGGGGCATCATGCATTCTATAATAAGGCCTTGCCCCTTGTTCTAATATCAATTTGGACTCTACAAATTCATCAATCTGGACTTTGGCTTTATGTTTGCAACCAGCTACCATCAGCTACTTCCTAAATGTGTTTTGACGGTGAAAGGCTTAGGTTTTGGCGGGGAGAAAAACTTAAATGATAATAATATCTGATCTGATCTATTTTATCCTTTTTCCATAAACTTATTATTTTTTTAAATAAAACTAATATCTTGTTCACATGTAAACCATTTTTTATAGGCAATTGAAGCAATTGATTGACATCGTTGCTGTACAAAGTATTTGATCTCAATTACCATCCTCAAGCAGTTCCATGAGTTTTCTCAGGGATCAAGGAAAGCTTGCTGGAGCAAGTGTGGTTAGCAGAGAGGCCTGCTTGAAAAGGGCAAAGATGAAGAGCTGCGAGCCTTGCATAGATTACTATAAGCAGTGATGATGATTCAAAGTGTAAAAAAGAACTCATTGGTCTCCTTGAGGATGAGATTGCTGTGAAACTGAGATGATGACAAGAAAGTCTCAAGCGGTTCTCGTCCATCACATTCACACTGTCTAGCTTTCAGGAACAGTGTAATACAAGAAGACTCGGGAATTCGTGCACCGACAAAGGATTACTTTTCTGTTGGTGCATCATTAATACAGTGGATAGTAACCGCGAGATACTTTGATGGTGATGATAACCTATGAGTTCAGGTAAAGAGCGCACAAATGACCACTTCACTAATCGAAAATTTGATGCAGCCTTATTGCCAGTTTTTTTGTGCATAGGTTGGGAATATTTGGTTTGATGGTAGCAGAGATGCTGAGATTGATGTGAAGCTTGACAGTGGCACGCATTATACAAATGATCAAAAGTTATTCTTTTTACTTCATAAGATTTAATCTGTACATAGATAACAAATGTAAATTCTTGTTCTTACCCAATTTGTTCAAGCAAAGAAACAATAATGTTTTGGAGAACTGTAACATTAAATAAATTTATGAAGTTTTGGAATGCATCTCTCTCAGGTTTACCGATGTTTGATGAAACTGTGAATCTGTGATTACATTGTATTAGTATTTCTCCAGATGACCGAAATTTTGAATTATTCTGAGAATACACAGCCTACTAGCATTGATGGCATTCTATTTGTTGATTAGATATTTAGATGTATACTTAGTTGAGGTTACATTCTGCCTGGTGCATTATTCATCATTTTGTGTCCTTCTTAAAAAAAATTATTGCTAAATAATTTTGGTAAGGTATTTATCATATAGTTCATATATTTCTTAGTAGCCCATATGAAAAATAAGAATATTTTCTCTCTTACTTTGATTACTCATATATTGTTGTGTTAGACATGATATATACTTCGGAGGTTATCCATAAGGGGGAGAGAATGTTGAATCATCTCTTAGTGTTTTTATCCCACAGAATGAGTATGAAAATGACAGCTTCTTTTAGCTTATCAACAGAAACAATAATGAGAGGGGCATATGAATCTTATTGCTCACATGTTTTGGTTGCTTATTTTGTAAAACTAGTTCTTGTGCACGTGCAATGGCACGTGGTTAAATATCAAAATTATTTATTATTTTTGTTTATTTCGTTACTATAAAATAAGTCAGCTTTATTTTGAGCTAAAATCTATAAATATGGATTATTACATTTGCTATAAATTTTATTTAAACATTTCTAAAAAAACATTTATGAAATAGATTTGTGTGTAAAACTGAGATTAATATACTTTTATATACTTGCATACACAACATTTATTTTTTAAATTATATCAAACTTCATGTAACATATTTGTTTATAGGATCAAATCATCGACCTCCAATTTGTTTATCTTAGTCATTAAATGTAGTGTTAAGTTTAAAAAAATATAATAATATATTGTTGATGTGTCAATAAAAATATAATCAATTACTTAATATTAAGATGGTTTGTATAAGCTCAGCATTGAGCACAAACTTTTCACAAGACTATAAGACAACTTAACTATTGGTAGACTTAAAATAAAAAAATAAATACTGAAGATTAATGATGGATCTAGTATAATTTTATTTGACAAAATCATTCACATAAATATATTAAAATTTTGCATGAAAATCACTTCTAAGATTCCTAATTTTACTCAAAAATTAAGTTATACTATAAAATATTTAAAAATAAAATTTATTTATTCCTTCTTTTTTCATATTTAGTTGAGCCGATATCAATTATTCTCCACCTATATCTTTTTCCTGGGCAATTTTACTATAGTGTCTTCATCGTCTATATCATTTGTGATATCAGGTTGGTATATAATAGAGAGTAAAAGACAAGGCAAGAGTCTAGGAAATATATTAGGATATACTTGGATCAATCAAGTGATGTTATTACTCATAATTGATATGCATCAGAAACAAAATGTGTTAATAATTTTAAACTATAAAACAGACTATATGAGCCCTCTAACATAACTTTTTTTAATGCAAGCAACCCTCAAGATTAATTTTAAAAATCTCTTGGAGCCAGAAATAAACAACCGACAAGTTTGCAATGGAAGCTAGGGAACGTAATACATTCTTAAAAACTATTAATATTTTCTTAATTTATTTATAATGACAGGATCTCATTATTAACTAACTACCTAGTGTTGGGTCCTTTTGTTTTGATGATGATTAACAAACAATTTATAACTAATGTTGTTTGTCTAGTGTTTGTGTTTTTTATTTATTCTAGACAAATAATATATTGGAGGATGGATGGAATCAAGCTTTCACGATCATATCCAATAGAGGTTGGCGGAATATCAGTATGAAGCCTCGCAATTTAAGCTAAAGATCCAACATCAAGCTTCATCCGCAAGTTTACCAAGAAGAGCTATATTGAAGACCTTCAAGCTTGGGTATATTTAATTTAGGTTATATATTATGTGTGTTAGATACTTTAAGCTTAATATCATATACACACACATTTTATTGGTTTCTCATATATATATAGTTGTATATATATACACGTTTTTTGTTTACAAGTTTATATAAATATGAAACCTATATTCTTGTTTACATATATATTTTTTCATGTTTATATGTGAAAATAGTGTATTCTAGTTTATAGACTTAACAAGCATAATATACATCTTTTATTAAGTCTATGAAATCAGTTTATGAAGTTTCAAAACATGGTGAAGTCAAAATGTCAAAACAAGTATGTTTCATTTTCATGTTTTGAACCATTTTTGTAGCATGTGTATTATCATGTCTACAATTATTTCCCAAAGTTTTACATTTTTCTGAATTTATTTGCTATTTTTAAAGGCAGTTTAAAAATCAGGTTTTTGCTTTAAACAGGCTGTATATCTGTTATCAGTCGACTGGTGAGTCGACTGATGAAATCAGTCGACCGACCAGTCGACTGAAGAAAGTGCCAGCAATTCAAAAAAGTTTTTGTTTTATTTTGGTCGACTGACCAGTCGATTGATGAGGTCATCAGTCGACTGATAAGGTCCGTCAGTCGACTGATGAACTAGAAAATGCCTTTAACAGTCAACTCATTAGTCGACTGATGCTGTAACGACTAGTTTTTTCAGCCTTTTACAGTTTTGAAATTTTGGTCTTTTTGTCTTGGTTTCTCTTGTCTTTGGGGTTCCTATAAATACCCTCACATACCCTCTGTTTTATTCAACAAGAAGAAAGTTTTTAAACAAGTTACAAGGGTTTTAAGTTTGGTTTTAGTTTGTTTCAAGAGTTTAGTTTGTGAAGAAATTTTCACAAGAGCAAAGAGGAGATCATCCTTTGATGTTTGAGCTTCAACTCATCTCTCTCTCACTCTTGTCATTTATTAGAGAAGTTTTCTAAACTTAATCTAGCTATTTTATATGTTTGATTTTCATTTCCATATTTAAGCTAGAATCTATATTGAGTTTAGTTTGATTTTGCTGTATTAAATCTCATTGTTACACACACCCACTTGAGCTTTTAGTATTTTTATACATAGTATAATTAGGATTGTGAGAGATTGTAACTTTGAGTTGTGCCTAATTGAGTTCTCGCCTTGTATTAGAGAAAAAATTATTTGCTGTGAGCTAAAATCATGAGGTTTACTTTGTATTACACTAGTACGCCAAGAGGAGTGTATGGTGAGAGACGGGGTCATCCCAAGAGGAGTGGAGTAGGTGGTAATGCCTAGAGATAGGTTGTAATTCCTAATACTAAAGGGAGACACGGGCTAGAGATCTTAAGGTGGTAGTTAGTGTAGTTACATTGTGAGTGATTGTGAACGTTGATCGATGAGCGTTGAAAACCGATATTGTAAGGTCTAAACGTTTTTCGGGTAAGCGTAGAAAACCCGATGCGATAGTGGAGATCTCCTCGAGGTGAGGAGCGAAGACGTAGGTCGTGGGGACCGAACTCCGTGGGGACCGAACTCCGTGATCATGTCGTTTGTTTGCGTTTGTCATTGGCGTTTATTTATATTCGTGCTTATTGTTTATATCACTATTTATCAATTGCTCTTTGTTTATATTGCCCACTATCTTGTTCATGTTTATTTCACCCTTGTGTTAATTGTATATCATTGCTCATATCTTGTTGAATATCATTCTTTCTAGGATATATTGTTAAATAGTTTTAATTTGGCATAAATCCGATTAGATTAGCATAAACTCTATTCACCCTCTAGGATTCTTTCCTAGTGGCATTATGGTGCTTTCACCTAGTACATTGTTTTTTTATTGTGCGTTAAAGATAGGCAAAGAACCTAGGTGAGTCTTCATCACAATGAATGTTATATAATTTAAGTACAAAGGAAAAAGGAGAATTGATCAATAGTGTAGCTGGTGAGAGGGAAACTCTAAAAGCTTAACTTGGATATGTAGATATATTATAGATGGAGATGGAGAAGGGTGATTTTAAAAACAGTGGGTGTGTGGGAGTATTTTAATATTGTTTTTATTTATGTGATTTTCTTTGTTAATTTTCAATATATTCGTGGTCCTGTGATTATATATAGCTATAGTATTGCTACTCTCTTTTGATTTTGTGGAAGAGTTTGGGTGTAAAAAAAATTTAAATTATCTAATCGGCTAAAGTATGATCATATAAGTTAAGCCTATACATGAAATTTATTTTAACCAACACATATATGTAAGTATTACAAATGACATTGAGATCTAAGATATGTGTGCGATCCTCTTTGACTTTTAAACAAATAGTATTCATTTAAATAATAATAGTATAATTAAAATTTATGATATGAAAAAATATCAAATATATAATATAATTAATTACTTTAAAATCTAATCTAATAAGAAGAAAATAGATGAAAGTAATAAGAAAATTATTATAATTTCATAATTCATAATTTTTAAACAATCTAATCTAATATAATAACCTTATCTAATAAGAAGAAAATAACAAAGCTATATACCTGTTGAAAATGCTATGAAAATTGTTATGATTTCTGATCTGAAAAAAAAATCAAACATACAATATAATTAATTGTTTTAAAATAATCTAATCTAATAATAAGAAAATAGATGAAAGTACTAAAAAAATTGTTTCAACTTCTTAATTTAAAAAAAAATTAAATATATAATATAATTAATTGCTTTAAAATAATCTAATGTAATCTAATAAAAAGAAAATAACAAATTCACATACCTATAGAAAGAGATGAAAGTGCTATGAGAATTGTTGTAATTTATTGACTTATATATATTAGTATGTGATGTTGCATGTGAGAGGATAACAATTATAAATAGAGTTCTATTTAAAAAATAATAATATAATTAAATTTTGAAACTAATTATACAGTACCGCGAACTACTTGAATTATAGTTGGTGAGAGATCACCACGTTGTGCCCTCAGGTCCCAATCGTTTGTTTTAATTTTCCTTTTTTATAATTTTGAGAATGATTTTTGTCTCTTTAATTTGTTTGGTAGGTTTTACAAATATCATGTCCACATTATATACATTTGTAGAGTCTACGTTGTTCCTGGGTTCGACCTTTGGGGCAGACATTATTTGTCTCTTTAATTTATTTGATTTTTGCATATACGCCCTTCGTCTTCGTCTTGTAGACATTTGTAAATTTGGTATTTAATAGTTTTATTCAGGTTTACATTTACATTTCAATTTAAATTATATCATCATCTTCATCATACTATGTATATCCAATAAGAATTTATCAATTTATCAACTTACTCTTACTTAATTGATTAATATTTGAATTCTAAGGGTACTTTTGTCTACCGAAAGATTTTCTCGAACTCGTGCTTTTAAAGAGAGTATGATATGATATGATATGATACCGTAACACTTTTTGTTTAAAATCCATGTATACTCTCACACATAAGACAAATATGTAGAAGATGCGTTAAAAAATAATAAGATTTATGTTTGTAATTTTTTTTTTACTATTTGTGTCTGGAAGAAGATTATGCTCTAGCGTGAAATTGGGAAACTAACCATCTAATTTTAAGGTGAATTACAAGAGATCTCTTTCATCTATGCTCAATTATGGAGGAACTTTTTCATCTACTAAGTTCAGCAAAAAGCCCTCATCGATACCTGAGTTCAAGAAAAAACTGAGCTCTCACCTTTCCATAAAAAATGTGTATATCTATTATGCAATGTAAACTCGCCTCGTTCATGAAGAAAATGACATAACACGTTATTCAAATGTAATCCTCTCATATGGCTTAAAAATTTACCTTATAACTGTTTTAAAACTGGAAATTTAGTAACGTTATATATTAGGGGCTCAACATACGAGGTGTTCCTTGTAAATCTGGGCATTAATAAAGGGATTTCTTGCAATTTAACCTAATTAATATTAATAAATAGAACAATTTTTCAAAACGGACTGATTTTTTTTTTTTTTTTCAAAACCGACTGTTTTTTTATTTATTTATCAAAATCGACCCGGTTTTGTGATTAGGCTGCTAATCACTATCCTAAATAGTCGGGGTTGGCAACCCCGACTATTTAGGAGGGTGTTAAACCCTAATTAAAGGGTGATTAGCAGGTTAATCACTATCCTAAATAGTCGGGGTTGCCAACCCCGACTATTTAGGATAGTGATTAGCCTGCTAATCACTCGGGGTTGGCAACCCCGACTATTTAGGAGGGTGTTAAACCCTAATTAAAGGGTGATTAGCAGGTTAATCACTATCCTAAATAGTCGGGGTTGCCAACCCCGACTATTTAGGATAGTGATTAGCCTG